GATTGTAACCGTTATTTCTGGCAGTTGCCTGACGATTGCTTCGCAAGAGGCATGAAACTCAGAGTTGCATTAAAAGTTCAAGTAACCTAAATCTTGAGGTATAATCATGATACGTTTATATATATATACATACCTATATGCATTATTTAATTGTAATTTCGCCTTCAATACGTTCAGGCCTATTTTTTATCATAGAAGTAATTACACCACCAAGTTAAATAGCTTTAAATCCGAGATGCAGACGGACAGGCAGAGACACAAGAAGACGGAGAAGGGGATACGGAATATTGGATTGCGATTGGATTGTGTCAGGATTAAGATCATATTTCCATATAATATCTGAGTAATAGCGATTATTACCGACGGTTAAATGGCCTCAAATCTGAGATACAGACTAACAGACAAAAGGACATATAGAGGTCTTATGTTAATACGGTTTGCATAACACATCATGAATCGTGTTAGGATTAAATGTAGAACGATATTTATTTTGATGTGCACGTAAAATTGTTTCTCCTCCCATACTGTGTCTAAGGTTCTGTTGTTCTGTATACCATAATTACTCCAACGATTATTTTATTTTTCCTCTGAAACCCAATGTAGTCAATCCAACCCTGGAACAGGCACCAAAGACGCAGTTTGTATTTTTGAACAGAAGTTCTAACCTATGGTGCCCAGTGAAAGGTGCGCCGGCTCCATACATTGTATGGAGAAAAGATGGTTTCGTTGTTCAAAATAGTACCAGCATAACATTGAAACTTAAAATAACGTCGGAAAACAACGTAAATTACTGCTGCGAGGTACAAAGCGATGGAGAGATATTTAGAAGGAACATCAGCCTCAGAGTTGAAGGTGAGGTCTCATTGCTTAATAGAACTATGTCATTACTTTTCATAACCGGATCGTGCAAACCTCCGCGAAGTTTTTATCCGCTCAGTTCTAACCACGCAAAAAAGTTCGTGTTTCTGATCAAAGTCGGTTCTGATCTATAATTCATTTTTTTAACCATGCTCGTTTCGTATGGGTAAATTACACCGCCACACTGAGATGTTCAAGCGTATCCTTGGCAACTGCGATTTTACCTATTTGTTTATTTTAAAATGAACTATTCTTCGTTTCCAAGACAAGAGACTAAATCCTTTCAAATTCATTTGAAGCCTTTCATGTGCCAATGAAATCATGTTCACATTTTTTTTATCTTTTTTAGAGTGCCCAGACCCGTGTGAATGTGACGTCTTTCAGCAAGCTTTCATGGGTGTGGATTGTAGTGGAAAAGAACTGAATTCAGTTCCTTGGAAATTTCCACTTGCCATGGCAAAATTGTGAGTACGATTTAAAAGTTATCAACACCAAGAGAAGATTGATCTCGGGACTACTTCCCCACAAAAAACCTTTTTCCAAAAGGAATCCCTTTCATGCTATTGTAGGCCTCGAGTCAGTCAGGATAACCCCTGAATAATATATGATTTACGATGACGAATAGTCGATTCGTGAGAATTATTGATAGACAGGATGTTTCACACAGGATTCTCCTAAGATCTACAAGAGCGGGTGTGATCTTGAAAAAAATTCAGAGGGACTGGCCAAGAATAAGGCTTACATGTGGTATTTAGTAACTTGACTTGATCCTCTCCTAGAACTATTAACACGCTTGTCCTATGAGACAGTGAAAATCTAACTGTTAGCGTGTAGTATAATAACAAAACGGAGAATGAAGGATTTTCTTGCTTGGGTCGAAGAAAGAGTGCAAAAAGTTGTTAAACCTCGCTAACAAGGAATCTAAAATGTACTTAAGTTCTAACTCTCAATTTGAACTGAGCAAAGGTTGTAACACACACAAAGCTGAAAACATTCTACATTACGTCACTAAGATAAAGGTGAATAACATCAGCTTTTCTAGTCTAGTCAAGTTTGTCTGCCGACAGGGCTTTTTGAATTTAATGAGTTTGATAATTGACCAGTAATTGATGTAACTATCTTGAGGCCTGGGATACACAGCATTCTTTGAGTGAAGACTACCGGACTAGGAATATGTTCGTCGATCAGCTAAACTTGAACTATAATACAATTATTCAATGCCAAAGGGAGTAAAAGAACGCCATTCACGAGAAGCAATACATAAGTCAATAGCTAGTGCTGCTCTTACCATATGTATCAGAAAGTGGAAAAAGATCAGGAGGTAATGGCTAAAGAGAGTAATCTATGATCCAAGACACGGTCAAACACCACGTGCTCGTCATCAAAATCATGCTTTTTTCCAGCCGTTAATCTTCCTATAGTACCTAAGTGCAGTACAGGCTAGGAACTAAAACACTTTACATTAGGGTTTCATGGACGTTTTGACAATGACTTAATGGTTATCGATTAGCTGCTTTCTGCTGTAATTTACACGTAATTTACACGTCATGTAATATATTCTTTTCTAACGATTCCTTAATAGGTTCTTAACCAACAACAATCTGAGGGACTTGCCCCAAGGCATCTTCAGTAACCATACCCAGCTGAGATTTCTGTAAGCCAAGACTCTTTTTTTATCGATCTGCTTGTTAAAGTGCCCCTGAGACGAAAATTGACCATTTTATTTTGGCCTAAATTGTTTACACAATGTTGAATTGGGTCAAGTTAAGACCCTTTTTGCCATTAAAAACTCAAAACAAACCTTCGATGACCAATTTTTACCGCTTCAAAGTCGTCTAAAAATCGTCCGCCATTGCTGAAAACATGTTCCAGCCGAGCTCGCAAAAACGTCATCATGACGTCAAAGGCTCAAAAAACTTATGCTTTGCTTTGTCACAACTCTCTTTGTTCGCTGCACAGAGAATCACACATATTACTTTTTTGAGAACTGTTTCGTTGTCAGTCGGGAAATGTCGACTTTTTCAGACGATGAATTGTCCCAGAAATCATCTGAAGCTTCTGTGGATAGTTTTGCGCCGACAAACGATGAATTTTTGCCATGCGAATAAAGATAAACACAGAACGGCACGGACTCCCCATGTGGCTTTTGTGGTCGCATCGCTTTATCGCCTTCGAACTGTATTTTTGCTTGTCGTAAGGGATTTTCCTTTTTTGTAAGAAATGATCGGGTGATTAGTAAAAATAGTTTTCGGCAATGGCTAATTGTGTATCCGAAGGCGGATATTGGGAGTTTGTGAAAGCCATTTCTAAGCCATCAATGTGTTTTCCCCGATGCATTTGGTCAATGATCTCATTAACCCTTTCCTTCGTGTTTTTTACTATCAGTGCTTTGAGAGGTTTGAAGTGAACTCTGTTGTTGAGTTGCACTTTGGCCTCTTTTGTTTTTTCTGTCTTATTCATGATCACTATTGTTGTGTTGCTTCGGTGAGGTTTAAGGCAGATATTTTTTCAACTCTTTTAGAGCCGTGACCTCATTGCGTTAAATAGTATTTTTTGGCTTAGATGCAGTCTACAAGTAGCGTTATGACAATTTTCCAAGTAGCCCTCAAGTGCGATAGAAGACTGAACCGGTGGCATTCAGTTTGATATGAAACAGAAGTGTTTCTTTGTTTTGTCCGTAGCAGGTGTAACGGAGGCGCATTCGTCTTGCGAATAAATCTCGCAAACGTTGGCCTGATTTTGAATTCGTTTGTCACGGGCGTTGGGATGAATTAGAGACCCTTTGATAGCACGCTGACTTGGCTATCAGATGGTTGATAGTTTGACAGGTTTTTAAAGAAATTTTCATTTTCTCGGTTTTTTGACTGCAAGCCTACATTTTAAAGTGTTTTTACGCTCTGTGTCTTAAGCAGTTTGTTCTGCTTTAGCTGATACTGAAGCCAGCTTTTTTTAGAATCAGAGCACACAATTATAATTTTTCATCTCTTTTGTATAAAAGTGAGCTCTTTGAGGTCAGATATCTCAATCCTCAATTCGGCTATTTTATCATTCTTCTTTACAATGTTCACCGAGTACTATCCTTTGTGTAAGGTATTCTGCCAGAGAGTTGTTAAAGGTGGATATTGATCAGCTCATATGTAAAGGTGACAAAATCCGTGGAGGTTCGTAGACTTCGCTTTCCGTCGTCGAGATCGCACTGAGGACGGTTTTTCTTGTCCCCCCTCTTCTTGAACGGTAGGCACTGAGGCCGACAGAATTCTTCGCCTAGATCCTTCAAAGTACACAGATCTCTCGAAACAGTCCTCCGAGAAGTGTTCGGAGTAGATCACAAAGATTTCTGTAGGATTGAAGTTTACTCGGCGAGGTCGCAGAAATCGCATCAATTTTTCCCGCTCTGATCTATTTGCAAGGCTCCGATGCAGAGAAATACCTGCAGCATGGTATGCACGATTACTTCAGCCTTGAATTACGCATCGATGCCCAGTCATTTTTGTTAAGTTTTTGTGAGAATAGAGTAAAGCACTCTGTTATGTTTGCTTGACATTTTGCCATGTGAGACTTTCGCGCTGAGCATTTGACGTCACTTCCTCTGAGTCCTGCGATGAACCTCCGGAACATGATCAAATAATGGCGGACGCGAAGTCGTGAATTTAACGGCCCGAAAAAAGATATTTCTGGTGCTCGGTCTAAACTGAAATTTGGCAGAGTAGGTGAAGGAGACACACTGAACACGAAAATGTAAAAAAATGGTGTATGAAAATTTTGATCTCAGGGGCACTTTAACGACAAAATCCGTAGTCGACACTAATGTTATGATTTTTGATAGCAATGTGGGTAGCAGTGAACTAAAGGACTCCTCTCCAATAAATCTACGATAGCAATGCCGAGCCTTTTTAGCTCCCAAAATGCATGATTACCTCCCCCCAACCTTTACATGAACACCTTAGATATACCTGAATGGATTACTTCTGTCACTGTCAGTGACAATGACTGATGTGTGATCGTGTAGTGTGATCATCCGGGTGAGGATAGTCCTAAGGTACTGTGGCGTATCTTTTTGCCTTCAATATTTGTACCGTTGCGAATGAACCCACTGTTTAAAATCTTAGATAAAACTATACAGAGATTGTGTGAAATTATTCCAAACATTTTCCTTTAGCAACTTTCCGGATAACTTACCCTCTCTCCTTCCCCTCAATCTGTATGGCCTTTCCTATAATGAGGACTGCAAAAAATGACGATGTGATTATAGCTGCATGATAATCCTACTGTGTCTGCTACGGACCTTTTTTTTAGATCGAAAAGAAAACGTATATTCTTAAAAAATGTTAATTTGTTAGCCGGTATAATTTATATCCTCACATCAGAACATGAGAGAAAGTGCAATGATTTGAGAATACAAATTTCTTGAATTTAGTTCACGAAAACAATGTTGTTAACACCACTTTGAATTATAACATAACCAAAGTAAAGCGCGCGCTCTGATTGGTCAATTTAGCGTCACCAATTTGCCCATGGGTGTACGCTGCTGACGTGAGAAAATGCAAAGACCATTTTCCGCGCGCGCTTGTTTTTTTCTGGTCACGTAGCTACAATGTGTCAATGTTATGTTAAAAAACAAATGGTAAACACCACAGCGTGCACTATTGAGTGATGGATGCACTTGGGAGATTTGCTAAGCACTCAAGATGCTAAAGTCGCTCTCGGCTATCGCCTCGAGCGGCTCTTACCCTTCTTTTCTAGTTTCCTTGATTTGCCACCTTCTCAATCACTACACTCCTAAATTTGGCATTTAAATGCTTTTCCATGCAGTTTCCTTGAAAAAAAAAAAAGAATAATAAAAACTAACCTGTCTGTTAGAAAAGAAAACCCAGTAAAAAAAAAAAAAAAGGAAAGGCTTATATATACATATATCGGAGTTAACGACAAAAATCCGCTGGAGCAAGATTTTAACATTATCGAATGTTGGAACGGCATATTGAGTTATTTTCCCCACAACGTTTTAACGAAAAAGCGAAAACGTTTTCCTGAAATAGCAATACAAGGCACTGAAGGCGCCCTTGAAGGGCCCTTGTAATGCCATCACCACCCAGCGGTCCTCCGGACATCTGTCGGGAGCTGAGGTGCGAATATTTAATTTTTGGTTGTTTGCTTTTTTCCTAAATGACGAATTTTGCCAGCAGTTTGGGATTAGTCTAAGATATTTTGTTGTATTAAGAAAGGTCATATGAGCAATCCGTATCTTACTAGCATTGAACAGGGCATTTTTAGTTGACAGATTTGCTTGGAGTAAACCCCAGCTCTCAGCTGATAATATATTTACAATTATCATATAAGTTTTTAAATAGTCGGGAATATAACGAGGATTTTTTCACGGTCGTGTCCTAGGGTGAAAACTAATTTCAAGTGCTATTACCATCTCTCACTGAGATGATTTTTCCCGAGAAACTAACTGACAGTTTTATTTCTCACGCGACAATATTCTAGCCATAGATGAGTAAAGGTACATACTTTTCGATAGAGTTTCACTTCTTTCGCAAAAGAGCTAAGTCGCATTTGGTAATAATCATGGTTAGAAAAAAGCTATTCTGGAAAGTACAAACATTATAATAATAAAGTATTGCTCTCGTCTCACGATATGGTCACTTATGATGTGAATCATGACGTCACCACAGCATACTGCTTGTCTTCATCACGTGATAAGGTTGTCTGGTTTCTGTTCTTCTTATAGAGCAGGATGCTCCGCTGTGATGAACAAGCACAACCTTTTTTTACACAAACTTTATGTTAGTAAATCCAGGACGACACCGATTTCTTTCAGTTGATTGCCCAATGGCTTATGGTGAATGTTTTAAACGATATCCATGAACGATGAGCGAAAATGATTTATGGAACTGACGGATGCACCCGAAAATAGAAAATTTAATGTTGTTTTAGTATCCTTGGTTCTTTCCCAAAACATATTTAGCCACTTAAAAGTACTTAATTGATTCATTTGTTGACAGGCGCTTGGACAACAATCACTTGGAGGACTTGCCGAATGACATATTCAGTAACAATATCAACCTAGTACAGCTGTAAGTCAAACGTTAAAAGAAAATGTTTCCTAAATCTAATCATAATGGCATTGTAAGGGGGGAACAAGAAGGGATAACCAGGGAATATATGGGGTAGCTGTATCAGTTAAAGTATTACAATGATTAGACTGTAGAAAAAGTGGCAAAATGTAACATTTTTGATATATCAGTCTTAGAAGATCTGTTATCCACCGATGCAAAAGGCTAAGCTTTTAATTTATCTAAAAAGTAAGGGGGATATAGTTATTAATTGTGCGGTAGATATCCACTTTAATGAAATTGGACCAATATTACGATTTATTACGTAGCTCGCATATATATATATTAATCTATTCAAACACTTCTCAGCCTAGTTTCCTTTCGTGCATCGAGGTGGAGAAAGGGGGCGAGGTGAGAGGAGGCGGTGGCCATTAGAGGTTTACATGTATATCTGCCTTCCTAGGGAGAGAGAATTGCTTCCTTCTGCGCTTGACTGCAAATCTGCTGCAAAGCATGCGTTCGTTAGTTACACAAAATGAAAAAAGTTAGGTCGAGTTGAACGTCCGCAAGTTACTAGTTCATTCAAGCATTCGAGTTAAACCTTGTTTT